AAGATTAAATCTTAGCCACTCATTATGTACCAAATCTTGTGACTAGAAATGAGCCTCACGTCCTCACTTTAAGAATGTGGATGCATTGGAACCAATCCATATATATATATAGTTATATAGGTAGGTTCAACCGAGAATGATGCTCAATGAAATGAATAAAAATACATCTTAGCCATCAGATCGAATGATCTAACGTTTAAAAAAAAAAAGTTAAAATCTTACACCAATTGTGATTTGGACACAAAAATTCTATGGAGCCATCGGATGGTTTTGTTATGGAGTTATCCACCACTTAATGTATTAACACTTGTCCAAATTGTACTTATTGTAGGACACATGCCAATACACTATTGGTGAATAAGTGTGGATGACGCCATAAGTCGAGCTATCTGATGGCTCCATAGCAAAACTAGATTTAGACATTACCACTACACATCCAATCAACACACTAATCAGTGTGTCTCACGCCACATCACCACCCACACAACACACGCATAAATCACCACCCACACAACACAAGCGCGCACGCACACACACACACACACCTTAACACTCACCACATACGTAATTTTCACATATCGTAGCCTGACACCGGGCCACGATGTCCTCACGCCAGACGTCGTTGTCGTCCTCACGCCTCCCTATCCCCCCATCCAACCTCCACCACATGACTGCTCGACTCCCGCCGAATAGCATCGGCATATGCCTGACCGATGCCTTAGGCGAACCACACGACCGTCAGGTTCCACACGCCTTAGGCGCAACCATTGTTTTATTATAGAGTAGTTTTTATCATTATATTTTGGTTTATAAGTTTTTGTGCCTTTTTTAAAAAATTGACTACTTTTTATATAAAAATATTATTTAAAATAGTTTTTAACTTTACTTTAATGAAAGACACCTTTTAACTAAATTATGTAGTAAATAATTTATATAATTAAAATAAATTTTATATTATTAACATTATTTTTTTTTGCAATAAATTTATTATTATATTCAAATATTTTAATTCTAGCAACTAAATCTAAATATAAATAATAATAATAATAATAATATATTTTTATATTTTAGTAATCGCTATTATGACCATGAATTCACGTACAAAATACATAATTTTTTCTTTCATGTTATATCATGTGTTTTTCTTTATTATTATTTTATCTCATATGTCCTATATTTTACTCTATTTTTTCGAAAAAACATTTGAGTAGTTTATATTCCATGTTATTTGTTTCAAGTAAATTTTATGTAATCATGTTTTACCAACTTTGTTTATTATGTAGTTATGTAATTAGTAATATAAAAATAATATACATATCTGTTGACCATCCCAGCTGCCATACAGACTGCCATGCAGAATCTCTGGCCACGTTAGATCTTCAAGCTGGGACCAGGGCAGATGCAAGGAAAGACCCTTGTGCCCCTCATATAGTTGCACATAATGGCACGAGAGAAAGCGGGAGTGGCACATGTGGAGACTCTCACAAAAAGACAAATAGCCTAGCTTACCCTTATCCTATTATGTGTGGTTGATATTCATTGTAGCTAGGTTATGGGTCAAAAATATTCCTTGTTAACAATAGTATATATATGTGCTAAGGAAGCAGTCGCAATGTACCTTTCAATGATAAGAAAACCATTCTAGTATTCAGTGCAAATGAAAGGCAAATTTATTTTCTTGTTCTTCACGTTCATGATGAAATTGATCTTAAAATTCCCTCATGGTATCAAAGATTCAGGTTAATCCTGGAGTTTCTGATCCATTCTCTTCCTTTTATCTTTTCTTTTCCATTCTCTGCTCAAAATGGCCGCAGAACAACCCACCATAGTTCAGCTGCAGTCACAGATTATCACTGTCAAGCTGACAGCGAACAACTATTTGGTTTGGAGGCAACAGGTCCTAGCTGCCATCAAAGGATATGGTTTGTATCAGTTTATCACTACAGGAAGATCCCCTGCTCTTACCATCACTGATGTAGATGGTAATGAAACTCTTAACCCAGCTTTTACTGTGTGGAATAGACAAGATCAGTTGATTGTATCCTGGCTTTTATCATCACTGTCTGAGAGCATTCTTATTACCATTGTTGGGCTTGATTCATCTTTTGAGATCTGGGACAATTGGAAACTACTTTTGCTAGCCAATCAAGAGCTAAAATTATGCAGTACAAATTGCAGCTCCAAACCCTTAAAAAGGGGAATATGTCCATGATTGAGTATCTTAACAAGGTCAAAGTTTGTTGTGATGGTTTAGCTGTAGCTGGTCAAAGAATTTCTGAGGATGTGCAGGTTACTCATATTTTAGCTGACCTTGGTAGTGAGTATAACCCTGTGATGGTTTCAGTAGGTGCCAGAATTGAACCCTACAGATTAAGGAAACTTCATGCTCTTTTACTGAGCTTTGAGAGCATGATGGAGACTTTTGAAAATCCCCACTTTGGTTTTGAAGGGTTCAATCCAAATGCCAATTATTCAGCTGTTGGGAACTCTTCCAAGAGAGGTGGCTATGCAAATAGAGGAAGAGGAAACTATAACTTTACTGGGAGTAGAGGTGGAAGATCAAATGGTAGAGGAGGCAATGGAAAAAGAGGTGGAAGATGAGGAGGCAGAATCAAGTGCCAAATTTGTCACCTCCAAAGTCACACTGCTAAGAAATGTTGGTATAGAACAGACTTAAATTTTGTTCCAAACAATCAAAGGAATGGAAATTCTGGTCCTCAAGGCTATGGCAATGAGCAAGGAGGAACTATGGCAAATGTGGCAAGTGTAGGAAACAATGACGATGGCTCACATGCTTACTGGTATCCAGATTCAGGGGCTACTAATCACATAACCCATGATCTCAGTAACCTCAGTATGGCCTCAAATTTTGCTGGAAGTGAGAGAGTTCTTATGGGAAATGGAGCTGGTCTTGACATTACTCATCTTGGTAATACATTGGTGAAGGGATCTTCCTCTAATAATCACACTTTTCTTCTTAAGAATTTTCTGCATGTTCCAGATATAACAAAGAATCTATTGAGTGTCTCACAGTTTGCTCATGATAACTAAGTCTTTTTTGAATTCCATCCCCAATATTGTCTTGTGAAGGATCAGGGAACAGGAGCAACACTACTAAGAGGAGAACTTAAAGAAGGATTATACTATTTCAAATTGGCTTGCGGTAAGAATCATGCAGTTGAAAGAAGAACCACAGTTCAAGCAGATCAAGTTAAAAGACCAATAGTTTCTTATTCTAGTTTTGTTTCTGAAGATTCAGTTTTAAATTTATGGCATAGTAGACTTGGCCATGCAGCCAGTGATGTAATCAAGAGGGTTTTGGTGAACTTTGAGCCACTTCTTGCTTTTAATAAAGAACTTGAACCTTGTGCTGCTTGCTTGCAATCAAAGAGTCATAGACTCCCTTTTAATGAATTTGTTACCTCTTATTCTGCTCCTTTTCAATTGGTGTGCACAGATCTTTGGGGCCCTTCACCTATCAAGTCCCAAGGTGGTTATAGTTACTACATGAGTCTGGTTGATCATTTTACTATATTTACATGGATTTACCTTTTGAAAACTAAGACAGATGTTCCTGCAGTGTTTTTGCATTTCAAAAAATTAATTGAGAACCACTTTAGTGCTACTATCAAGGCTATCCAAAGTGATGGAGGGACAAAATTTAAGCCTCTATGCAAGTTCTTTGTTGAAAATGGTATTGTCCACAGGATATCATGCCCTTATACTCCACAACAGAATGGGTTAGTGGAGAGGAAACACAGACAGATAGTTGAAACAGGTTTGGCCTTGATGTCTAATGCAGGTATTCACTTGAGGTTTTGGGTCGAAGCTTTTACCTCAGCTTTTTTACTAATTAACAGACAACCTACTAAAGTTTTGAGTTACAAATCACCTTTTGAGAGCTTACTTGGGCAGAAACCAAATTATCACTTTCTTAAGGTGTTTGGTTGCTTATGCTTTCCCTATTTGAGGCCCATAAACAAGCATAAACTTGAAGCAAGAAGCTTGCCAAGCACTTTCATCGGGTATATCCCACAACATAAGGGCTACAAGGTGCTGTTACCAAACAAAAGAATAATTGTGACCAGGCACATTATGTTTAATGAGAAGAAATTTTCTTTTTTGGATCAAGCCCTCACTTAGAGAAAAACAACTGAAGATATTCAAAGATCTTATCCTCCTCTTTTCAGAATTCAGGCAGACATTACATCAGGCTCTACAAATAATGACTCTCTAAGTCAACACAGTCATGACCAACCCCTTGCTCAAGAAGTTCATGTGACTCCTAATATATCTTCTAGTCCATCTGTGCAAAGTCCTACTTCTGGAAGTAATTCAAGCTCTCCCTCATCAACTATTCAGGTTGGAAGGATAACAATTGATCTCCCTATTAAAAACATGAGTAGATCCAACACAAGCACTGATCAAGACTAGGGAACACAGCATGCAAGTGATACAGTGGCCATCCATCCTATGATCACTAGGGAGAAGGCTGGGATCAGAAAGCCCAAGACTTTCACTGCCAGTGTTTGTGCCATCTCAGAACCCAGGAGTCTTATTGAGGCTCAAAAGTACAAGGAATGGGTTCAAGCCATGAACCAAGAATACAATGCTCTCACCTCCAACAACACATGGAGTCTCACAACCTTACCTGAAGGAAGGAGCACAATTAGCTGCAAATGGGTGTATAAATTAAAGAGGAATGCTATTGGTGCAATTGTGAGTCCTAAGGCTCGATTAGTTGCAAGAAGATTCACACAAATGCCAAAAATTGATTTTGGAGACACATTCAGTCCTGTTGTAAGGCCAGCTACCATCAGGTTACTAATTTCCATTGCTATTGCTCATTCATGGACATTAAGGCACCTTGATGTGGATAATGCCTTCCTCAATGGAGAACTTGATGTTGACATCTATATGAACCAGCCACCAGGATTTGAGAAGGCCTCTGTATCAGGAATACCACTTGTTTGCAAGCTTAATAAGGCCATCTATGGCTTAAAACAAGCCTCAAGAGCCTGGAACCTTAAACTCACTGCAGCTCTCAAGAATATGGACTTCATTGTCTCTAAGTCTGATCCTTCATTATTCTTCAAGGTTACCACTTAGTCCACTATTTTTATCCTAGTGTATGTTGATGACATCATCATCACATGATCTAATGAAACTGAGGTTCAACACACTATTTCAGATTTTCAAAAATTCTTTTCTATCAAAGATTTTGGCAAACTGACACACTTCTTAGGCATAGAAGTCTCTTACAATGATCAAGGGCTCATTTTAAGTCAAAGTTAATATATCACTGACATTCTTTCAAGCCTTCAAATGAGAGGAGTTAAAGGAGTGAGTTCTCCAATGATATCTCATCTTTTACTGTCCAAACATGATGGACAACCCTTTGATAGTCCCATCTTGTTGAGGAGTGTTGTAGGTGCTCTCCAATACACAACAATTAGCAGGCCAGAAATATCATATAGTGTGAATAAAATCAGT